TTTTCCTTTAAGTGCCCTCTCATAATCTTATCTGAAATTTACACACTACTTTCCAATAAATGCATGCCATTCTGCCAGGGCTTTTCTGTAAGATGATGTAGTGTCACGCTCATGAATGGCATCCTGGAGAACTTCTGTTTGAATGACAGACAGCAGGGTTGCCACGTATTTTGGGTAAGTCAGATGGAGTGCATAAAAGTATGCCATCACATATATCATAGCCTCACCAAGTTTTTCTTTGTCAAATGTTGTAACTGGTAAATTACCAACAGCAATGACACACTTGCAGCCATCGAACATCACTACTGGACATGACAAGCTTCGTTTCTGGAGGAAAGCATCTGGATATTCTGTAGGCTGCAAGACAAAAAAGACATGACAATTAACATCTTATGTTAATTAACATCTTATGTTAATTGTATGTATGTTAATCTTAATTAACATACAATTAACATCTTATGTTAATTGTATGTTTTTTTGCTGGGATTTGGTCATAACGTCGGAGGCGTCATTATCTTGTTCTTTGTTGGTTACACACATTTTATAGTAGTTTTGACTTATGGTTTATCAGTGTCAAGCGACTCCTTATGTGACCACACTCGTGTACATTAAATACGTTATAAATTAATGAAAACAATAAATTATAGATTTAAGTCTTTCGGCTGAAACCGAAAAAGTATTTGAGTCATGTTTGACCGAAATATTTTGTTTGCCAATTTTTTTGTAGATCTTTATAAGCAAATTTTACAAAACTTACCTTCAGGACATGTAGAAATGCTTCAGAAGTATTCCCCATCTTTTTTGGTGGATGGGCAGGTGTGGGAAAGAGCGTTGGAAGAGCCTTCATCAGTGCGAGGTGGGCTTCAGCTCGACAAAGCAAAAACAAACCTTCATAAACATACATTTTAAAGGATGAGAACTTTGTATTCAAACTGTAAAACTTACTTTTGTCCATGGTCATTGGTGGATTCATTGCCTTCTTTGACACACCGTAGAACTCTACCCTGGAGCAGAATTCTTCCCATCTCAGTTTTATTTGACTGATGAACTTGTTGTTGTGGGGATCCAAAATTCTGCGAAGCTCACCCAACGCCTACAATAGGTTTAAAAAAAAAAAGTAAACAAATAAAATCAAAATAACTTTACTACCACACCAAATATATATGAAATTAAAGTGATTATTGATTAACTCTTCCAAAAACTTACATGATGCAATTCTTTAAAGCATGGATATGCATCCAAGATGAAGTGAGCTCTGTTCTCCTCTTTCATGGTGTCTGAGTCAATGAAGGATCTTCTGGCTTCAAACTCGAGGTCTAATAGCTGGGACAGATCTTCTTGGTTTGGTTTTGCCTTCTTGCACATTTCTTGTAATGTTTTGTAATGTCTTGCTTGTATTTGCCGACTATCCTTGTCAGCTAA